CTAACAAGGCTACACTGCCATGAAAAAGGGCACCTTCAAACCACAGGGTTTTGTCTAATGACATCCATTATTTGCTGCTCATTATCTAGAAACACACCTGGAACAACACAATTAAAGCAGCAATCTGCAGTAAATTACCTCACAGACCACATGAACTGATTTAAAAGCCGTTGTCACTGTAGATTTAGCCAGTAAGGTCACATGAAATTGGAACTTGTCCTCCTCCCAGTTCAGGCCTGAGATCCATACCACTTGACTCAGGGTTGGATGAGTTTTGTCTGTGACTGATCTCAACACCTCTGACTCAGTAATGTGTGAAGATCATCCAACCCACTTTCAGGAATCCATTCCTGAAACATAAGGACCCTGCACTGATTATGTGACAGAGTTGGAAAGCAATTTACAGTGAACCATAAAGTCCTGCCTGGAAATTAAACTGTAGTTTAACACCTGTTCCTACTTGGTATTTCCCACACTGCTCACACACTACAGTTTCTTTATTCAGAATATTACAAAGTAGGAAAAATACCTAAGCCCTGTTTCTCATTATGTTCGTTCCCCAGGTGAAGAAACAATTATCAGTGTTCTCTATTTCTATCTCTATAATTTAAAAATACAAACATGGTAAAAACACTTCTATGTTTAAGGAGTTTCACCTTTGCTCCAATTTCTGCATCCTCTTCAGAGAGGATTTCCCTTACTTAGATAGCCAAAGACATTTTTAGTGCATAGAAAAAAAAAAGCATTGTTAAGGTTGTTTGTTCGTTTTTTTAAGCAGGATTAACAAATCAACAGTAAAATAAGTAATCTTCTTCATATCCTCTTCATTAAACCAGGTCAACAAGCTTCGCTGCAAAATCATAACTGATTTCTATGGGATCTGTGAGACTCACTGAAATCTACTTGACCAAATTGAAAAGAATTATTTCAACAACAAAATGAAGTAACAATACCCATCAGCATTTTGAAGATAAATATATTTAAGGAATGTATTTAAGAATGATTTTCCAAGTTTTGAAATAACAGATGTAGTTGCAATTTTTTTCTTTTGTGGGTAAGAAGTTATAGGTTTTGAAAGTGCTGGTAATTATAATGGCAAGCATCATCTTACCAACCTTACTTCAAACAAATGATGGGAAAAAAAGGGCACTGTTTACATTCCTAGTAAGCAGTGCTGGAGGGAGAAGGTGACCACAGCAGGCTGTCATCACTGCAGGGCATTGCAGGTACAAACTCTCTGGTGCTTCCAAAGCCTGCATCAGACAGGCTTACTGCAGCAGCCAGGCAACTGTACTGCCATTATTTGATCATGTTAGTCATAATTTCACCCCAAGTCAGCTTTATTTGGTAAATACAGGATTAAAGAGTGTGGGAGAAAAATAGCAAATATTTATAATGTACACAGAGCAAAGCTTTGTGTCCAGCTCTCTCTTTTTAAAAGACATATGTCTCACTGGGAAAAGTCAGAGATTTTTTGCCTTCTGACTCCACAGCCGGTTCTCATTTTCCATGTCAGTCGCTCTGCCTTCTATTACTTCATCAAATGCACCAGACTCCTCTTTATTGTTATCTTCAGAGGCAGACCAAGCAAAAGTCTTTTCTAAACTGTAAAAACCCCTCCGAATGTATTTAAAAATTCCTTCTTAACATAGTGATGCTTAAGAAAATGTCCTCTCTGGCTTGCAGGTCTGGATCCCAACCTTGCACAAGACAGGGCACAACACAAATTCTGCCCTGCCTCATTCAGACCACAACTGTGACTCTCAGTCTCATAAATCCACCACATGGCATCTTCAGGTCTCTTAACCTGACTCATAGGCCAGGATAAATTAACTGGACTGAATCAAATTAACTGGCTTTCCAGTGTCCGAAAGAGTTAAATTCCCACAGAAAAGGGGAAAGCAGGGACAAAGACAGTAGCTGCTTCTGGGACAAGGGAACAGAGATACTTGCCCAAGGTTACAGAGCCTTGATAGGGGCTGAAAGTACAGCCACAACAATCTGGTCTGCCCACACACGGTCAGAATGTCACTGAACCAGAGTGGAAAAAATAGGAATTGACATCAGACACGTTACAATGAACAGGAGGAAAAATAGTTCAGCCCACATAGAACATATCCATGCAACAAAGAAAACCAATTTCCTTGAAATTCCTGTCAAAAGGCACGCTGATCTATCATCTGTTCATATTTGAGATTCCAACCAACCAGACATGCTCTGGCCAATCTCACTCCTTGAAACAGGTATCCTGAGCCCAGCTGGCTGCCTCATGTGGGCATGCTGGTCAGGCTGTCAGAACGTCATTACATGAAACCTCCTGGCAAGACTGCAACTCTCTGCAAGCCCAAGAAGCCAAAGTGTCGCTGTCAGTAAAAAGGAATGAGCTAACTATCACTTTCCACTTCATTTTATGCAATTTTAGTGTAAGGATAAGCCAGGGCAGTGTCCTGACAAAGCTGACAGAAAAAGTGAGACAATGCCAACTGACAGACTCTAGTTCAGCTGTGAGAAATGCAATGCTTCTTCCAAAATTATTGGTGCAGCAGTAAAACAAGCATTTTTACCACAATGCATTGTTAAAAAGGGAGAGTGGGGGGAATAAATCTGAAGTTACTTTCTAGAATAGCTCATGGTAAATTCTAGACAAAGGTCAACAGTGATTTGCATTGCAGTATTTCTTTAAAAACAAAGGCTAGTCCAGTAGTTTAGGATTCAGAAGAATCAGAGAAGTCCCCTGTAGATCAGTTCACAGACATCCAATTAATAAAAGACTAATACAGTCCTACCCCCTGGAGCACAGCAAAGATAAATATCTTAATGTCTGCCAGGCTCTCCACTGAGGGGTCCACTTCAGAAATAAGGCAGCTAGACAGAACTAGTGAGTGCCAAGAGTACACCATTAATCCCCCATTTCCAAGTAGTCTATTGACTTCTCTAAAGCATCTGTCCTGCAGCAAACCACAATTAGAGAAGTACAAGCCACAAAGGGTTTCATCACTATTTTTTACTTCAAGACAAATAAATGGAAAAATTCCCCAGAGCCCCATCACCAACCTGTGCAAAGTAACTCCATAAGTTAGTGTACACACATGGCATTGCAGCTCATCTGGCTCAATTCCCTTCTACATAAACCCAGAGTCCTGAGATTCTCTAAGTCACTGATTCATTACAGAATATACTTTCTGGTTTCCATGAACAAACTGCACAGGGAACAGAGGGTGCACACACAGTGACAGATTCCACAGAGGACAGAACAGTCCAGAGATGCACAAACTCAATTCAACTACTTCCTCTGTCACCTACCTGGCACTCCTATCCCTTTTCTGCCCAATGCCACCCTACTCTTCCAAAAATCTGAGCTACCCTTCTGGGAAACAAAGTCTAAATTACAATCCTTCTTTCAACCCCACTGAGCTGAATTCAGCAGGGCTGTGTGCTATTCTGGAGAACAAATGTCTCCTTTTTCTTCCAATTGATCTGGAACACCTTGGTCATGTGGAAGTGGAGCTGTACAGCACCAGGCCACCATGGAACAAGAAGGGGGAAGAAAGGGCTCCCCAGAAAGTGATACAGAGGAAAAGGGAGGACACACATTGAGGAGAGCTGGAAGAGAAGCTCAAGTCTGGTAAGCCAACAGCTCTCAAGGCCTGACTGCATTTAAGCATTTATGGTTCACCAAGGATGTTATGCACTGTCTCTCTCTCTCTCCATTACACAACACAGTCAGGCACGTTACACTTCTTGCTTAGCATTTACTCAAAGCAATTTTAAACCACATCATGGTTCACAGTCTCCAATGAGCTGCTCTGAGTGAAAAAAATTGAAAAACACCCCAAAACTCCCAACCAATGCAGAGAGCAGCAAGGTGGTGAGAGGCTGGTGAAAACAAATGAAATAGCTGTAATTTCACTCCTTCTCAACAACACACTGGCCTCTTAACGTGTGAAGAAAGACCTTCAATCATCTCACCATTGCACAAACACACCTGAAGGAAGATATTAAGTCTCAGGCTTTTCATGTTTAGAGTTTGGAATGTTGCATCTGTATTTAGCTTTTCCTCGTATCTGTGTGACAGGAAAATCTTTAATCGAACACAAGATGTTTCAGAAGGAATCTCAGCCCAGAGGCAGCTGCAAACCTCCCCAATCCTGGGCAACGCCTGCCTCCCAGTGCCTAGAAAAGTAACTGCACACACTGCAGGAAAAGAAATCTCAGTTGCACAAGCAACAGTTCCTGCTTGAAATTTTCCTCTATACTGTCATAAACAATGCACTTTAACACATCAGAAAAAAGATAATTCCAGCAGGGAAATGCTTCCTGTACTTCATGTTTATTCAGTGTTTTACCATTTCATGCTGCTACAGAAAGTAATTCCTTCATTATTATAATTTATGCAGAAAAAGGGGGGAGAAACTCACAAAGACTTCTCTCACAGTGAATCATCGTGACAGAAGCTGTCTGAAATATACTCTCAGGATAACTCAAAAGGTTTTGTAGTGTAAACTTACCATTCATATCACCTATTAATCTCCTTAATCTGCATGATGCCAAATATCCTTTGGGCTAGGAAACATTGCTGCAAGTTTAATCCTAGATGGAGAGGTGTGAGGCCCTTGCCCTGTAGGGACCAGGATTGTGCTTACATGAGGCAGCAGGAGAGTCTTTTCCATCAATGACCAGTCAGGCTTTCTGAGCAGGACCAGAATTAACAACAGTTTGTATTTCCATCTGTACACATGTTCATTATGCCACAGCTGGAAGGCAGGCAAGGTACCCTAAGAGTTCATACAAATGAACCACTCACTCTGCCCTATTTACAATCAGATTACAAAACATAAATAGAAGTAATGCTCTCCTTTCTCCCACACATCTTCAAACCTGCACTCCCATTCGACTTCTTTTGCTTTCACTAAGGCATTTTTGTTTCTCTAACATATTAAATAAAAAACTGAGCATAAAGAAAGCAAAGCCATTATGTGAATCCACTCATCATTACTTACTTCTCCTGTGATTGGATTGGTTCCATATTTCTTTATCCAAGGTACAATGCTCCTGAAAAGAGAAAGGATAAACCAATTCATGAAAAGCACCATCAGAAACTTGTACTGATGGCCATGACTGTTTTTGCCAGCTTGCTAAGACTAAGGGACGATTACACAGCTGTAACCATCTCAACAACACAAAAATAAAGCTAAGTACAGACAGGAACTTACAGGATGTCAAAGACTGTCCCATCTGGTGTGCAAACTGGGTATTCAAATGGCTGCAGAGACAAACTAGAAAAAAGAGAACACAACCTTGTTAGCAAAACCAGGTGGAAATCACGATATAACTGGCAATCACACTCAGCATCCCCTCTTAGGGATGCTTCCATAATCCTGGCAGCTCTTAGCTCATAGGTATAGAAGGCAACTTCCTGAACTACCCAATTTACAAGGATTTCTAAGCCACTTCTACCAACTCTCTTCCTTCACTCCTGCACTTTCAGCAGTAAACTCTAAACAGAAAAAAAATAGCAGAAATATTCTTCAATCTGCCTTGATCTCTATCTTAGCAAGATGAATGATCAACCAAGCACATTCTGAGCAGGGACACGCAGATTTGAGCCCTGATGACACAGAGTTGAAAGACTGAGATGTACACAGTAATTGTTCTGCATTATTTCATCAGTTGTGTATCCTTTCAGCCATCAGCTCCAACCTCTGCAGACACTGATCATGGGTCATGCAGACTCTGTTTCAGTTCTTATTCAACTTTTTCTTGCCACACTACTGCCACAGCAGGCACAAGGCAATGAAAGTAACTGCCTCAGAAGAACATGGCTTTAGTTCAGTGTCAACAGCCTGATAAACAGATATCATTAAATAATGATAGTGTAAATTTGTTGTCTTACCTGCAGTGATCAAATGATAAACGTCTAAAATTGGTTCGTGGAAGGTCTGTTTATGGAAAAAGAAAACCCACACAACACATCAATAAATTCATGGTATTCTAGGTAACAAAGAAACATTTGAAAGTTACATATTGCTACACAACCTGTGGCAAGTTACGGAAGACAGGGATAAATATCCTACAGCTTGAGAAAATGTAACTAAAACTTCTGAACTGAAATTACAGCGCCGGGAAAGATCCAAGCAGAGCTCTGACAGTCGGACAGCGCTGAGTTTAAATGCGATAATTACGCTCAGGCTGTGCCCCAGCAGCGGGCACAGAGCCAGCGGAGGGCGGGACGCTCCTGAGGCCAGGAACGCGGCCTTCCCGAGCGGTACCGGGGCTCGGGCCGCGCCCGGGGCCGGAGCTCAGCGCCCACCGCCCCGGGGGCCTGAGGGAGCGGCCCGGCCCCCCTCACCTGCTTTCTTGCCGCCGTAGAACTGCGTGTACTCGGCGCACGTGATGTACCTGCGAGAGAGAGCGGTCACTGAGGCACAGCCCAGACCCGGCCCCGCACAGCCCGGCCCCCCGCGCTCTCCCCCGCTCACATTTTGTCCTTCTGGTGCTGCCGCTTCCCCATGGCTGCGGCCCGGCCCGCGCCTCAGGCCCGCCCGCGCCTTCCGCCGGGTGCGCCGCCGAACGGCCGCGGCGCGGAAACAGCGGCGGCGGCAGGCGCGTTCCGGGAACAGGCCGGGCCGGCTCGGCCCCGAGAAGGTTGGTGCCTTCCGGGCCTTCCCCTTCACTAGAACATGTTTTCTTGCCTGGAATTTAAAATCTTTGTATTCCTGCTCTGTTGGGCAGGGACAGAACCTCCCCCGCCCCCCCCCCCCCCAAAAAAAAAAAAAAAAAAGGGGTAGAAAAACGTACTTGTTATCTTAATATGGAAACAGCTCTTCACAAAAAAAGTATTTCAGTGTCTCTTCAAAGACTCAATGACAAGAAACGTATTGTCCCTTAGGATTGGTATGACCAGCCTGGATCCCTTGCCTTTAGCAGGAAGAAACCACCAGCTGTCCTGGAGCTTTTACTTATCAAACACCTCCAAATCCATTCCTGCTCCTTTTTTCTTTCCTTGTCAAACCATCACCCTGGCAGCTGCCCACACAGAGCCACTGGAGTGACATCCATGGAGGTGAAGAGCCAGGCTTCCCTTGTGCCCAGAAGATGGGGTTCAGCTCCTGTTTTAATCCCATCAGTTGGTCCTTGGCTGCATCCGTGAGCACAACACGCTCTGCTTGCAGGGGGTTATAATAAATTATTTCTGAGAGTCCCTGATTCTATGTTGTTATGGTTCTCCCCTAAGGAACAGAATAGCTGTTCCCACCAATGTAATCTAATTTACAACATTACAACTGGTTCTCACTATCAGACTCTTCAGCCACAGCACCACAGCTACTCCTTGTCCTGTCTGAGGGGGAAGGATATTGTTTGTTAGATGTTTAGGGGAGAAACTGCCCTTTTACAAGGGTTTAAATACACTTAATCATTTCAATTCTTTTACTTAAAAACATTTCAGATCAAGGCACTGAGGCACATCCAAACAGCAGGGCCTGCAAAGAACCAACACCTTCACTTGCTCCTTTCCCAGCACCAAGTACACTCTGGAAAAAGAAAACAATTTGATTTGTTTTCAGTTGAATTCCAAAAGCACTCCACAAGGAACATGGCCATAACTGCAAAAACTCCCTCCTTGCTCCAGGGCAGGCACTCTGCTCATGGTGAGGGAGCCAGTTTGGCTGTGCCTGAGAGGATGAGCATTCCCACACAGCTCCTGCTGCCTCGGCCGAGATGGGCTCCAGGGGCAAACGCTGGAGCTGCCCACAGACATCGCCAGCATTTGTCTGATTGTGCTTTCCAAGGAAGGATCATGGAGACAAAATTATTTATTTCCAGACACGTTACTGTGATTCAGCCTGCACTGACATTTCTGGAGATGCCTGTGCTCTTCGCAATAATTCAAGACCATGTTTTTGCTTTTTGTTTTTTTTTTTTTTTTAACCAATGCAATGTTCTTTTATTTTGTACTTACAAAAAGAGCCACCCCATTGTATCCCTCCCCCTCCCCCCAAATGCCTTTTACAAACATTGAAAAATTAAAAACCTGATGATGACATGTTAATTTGGTAGAATTACTTTGAAACATAGCCTTTGTAATTCAACTCCTACAAGATGACTTTGTAGTGATAGCCTGATTATTGGCCAAATAAAATTCCATATTACAAGTTAGCAAATTCTAGTACAAAAATAGTCCATGTGTTAGAACAGCCTCTTATTATTATTATATTCACAGGAAAGAGTCTATTGGCTGCATAATACCTTAATATTTATGAAATTTCTTTTTACGTGGCTCATTCATCTAATTTAATATAGTGTTGAGCCTCAATAAATCCTCAGGCAAAAAACCCCAAACAGGGTTAAATATGCTGTTCAGTGTACTCTGAAGTACTGTGCTTTTCACAGGACATCCAAGAAACCGCACAAACAGTTCTCAGCTAGTTTTAATATTAAATGAGATCCAGATCCAAAAGGATCCCCCTGAAGTACATATCCATGACTTTCCATAGAAACAGAGGTCACAGCTTCAATGGTCAAGTTTCACTGGGGAAACTGTTGAGCTCCTCCACTCATTGCCAGGAATGCGCTGGGACCTCTGCGGCTCAGCCCTTCTTCAGGAGTGTCCCCCTGGCCGGGCTCTCGCTCCTCCCTCGTCTCTGCTAATGCTGCTCAGCAGTTTGGCTCGGACCAGGCCCCGCAGGGAAAATCTGGGGACATGCTACTTGTCTCTCAAGATGTCCAGCTGCTCTTGATACTCTGTGAAAAGCCTCTGGAAGCGGAGGTTCTGTCCAATAACAGGAAGAAGCTCTTTCAATAGTTCTCTCTTTCGTAAACCCTGCAGAGAAAACACAAAAGCATCCTCAGAATCTATTTGTTATCATTAACAAGTTCCATGGAGCTGTCTAAGATTCATGCCCTTTTTCCTGCCTAGAGAGAGCTATGTATTTTATGTTCCCACTCTGCTTCCATGACTCCCAGAATAAAAACTGGCTTCACATTTAAACACTCATGAAGCTGGAGCAGCCTCTGCAGTTCCAGACTCCAGGCTGTGTTCTGAGAGGGAAGACATCTTTGGCATGTCCCTGTTTCAAAGCTGCTGTCTCAACAATGTGGAGAGCTGAACATGCAACTCTCCTTCATCTGTGTGATACTCAAAACAGCACCAGAGCTGACACTGGGGCAACAAGCATTTGCCTGTGGTTTCACATGGAATAAATCTCAGTGCCATGGGAGAAAGCCTGCTTATGTGATCAGAGCAGAGTATGGAAAGGATAATACCCTGTAATTTTTATGGGAAACTCTTCCTTGTTCTTCATGAAACTATTATCAGGACTTACCATAACTGTTGATTCCCACTGACTTCCAGCTGAGTAATGGACTGGACCCAGTAAATCCTTGCATAATTCTCGCAAACGATATTCAAACCCTGGAGATAGTCAGAAATAAAATCACATTTGAGAGCATTTCACTACATATAACCACTGGTACACAATGTAGCAGACAACATTCAGGAAAGAATTACAAGTCTCTGGAATAAAATAAAGCCCAAAACATTAATTTCAGGAAAGTTATATTACTATTATTACAGCAATTCTTTAGAAATATAAGATGATTTTTAGAACTCTGAAGGTTTTTATTTAAGGCTCTTAAAACCAAACCCACTACAATAAGGATGATCTACTACAGGGAAAAAAACTGAAGTCTGAAGTAATTACTCCAGCTTGTTTTAAGAGCTGCCCTGGTCCCAACCTCACTTTTCCCTCCCACACAAACATACCAGCTTTTTAAAAACCAAAACAGCTTTAATGAAACCACACACAGGTTCTGGGCCTCCTTTATTTACCCAAAAATCAGAGGGGGGAATTCCCTTGCAAGAAACAAAGTCTATTCAAGAGTAACTTGCCAATCAACATATAAGAGATCAAGTATTTAATGGATTAGAATTCAGTAGATGTTGAAATAATCATAAGAATAAAGGGTCAATAATAGGACGTCCAACTTTCAAAGTTCAGCAGCTCTAGAAAATTAGTGAAGCAGCAATATACATGTGGCAAAACACAGTTTTTGTGACATCCATCCATCCATCCATGGCAGCAACATTTGGAGGTGCCAGAGGAACCCAGTGCACGCAGCAGAGGTTCTCTGTTAGGGAAGGCTTTTAAAAGTACAACCATCTCTTTAACATAGGACCCAAGATTAATATTTTAATTTCAGCTGGGGAAGGACAGAGAGAAGCACACACAGTTCAACGAGCTCTCTTGTTAAATGAGGTAAGGGTCAAAAGGCAAGAATTAATGAGTTTGATTTTAATTCTGCCATCACCTATTAGGTGGCGTAACGCGAACCATTTCATTTCCCTCTGTGCAGAATGATTTTGCAAGGTGAGGAGTAAGGCTGAATTAATACAAAGAGAACTACTAAATTATGAATGTAGACAGGCAGAGATACAACAGAGATCTTTAGAATCCAAAAAGTATTAAGTCAGTTGGTTAACCTTATTTAACATAATAGCATAAATTGTATTCAAATAGAAAATAGACACAGGGAACCTTTCTTGTGTGTTTCTTTTCTCACAAAATTTAACACATGGAATTCACCAGTACAGGCAGTACTGGTGGCACCAGTTAAAATTTTAGAATGTAAAAAAAGAATAAAGTGCAAGCAATACAAGCAAATTCTCATCAATTTTATGTGTTCGAGTACGAAGTGTCAGAGACTGAGCAACCTCTCCATCTCACATCAGCCAGCAATTGTCAGCTGGCTGAGGAGGCTTATGCATTTTACAAGGTGCTCCTGGTTTCCCTGAAACATCTGTAGCTGCTGCCAGACAATACCTAGGATGTGGCTGCCAGACCACTGGGCTGTTTTACAGTGCAGTTGCCATTACTGGAGTCTGCAGATGGCACTGCTTCCCCAGAGCACGCTCTGCCCCCAGCCACTGTGTCCAAACAGGATTCCTGAGGACTGAGCACTGCAGAAGCAAATGCGATTTGTTTTGGTTTTAAGCAAACCTGAGTCCAGAAGCCAAGTGCTAAGAGGAGGCTGTTAAAGGCAATCATACATATACATGACATGAGCAGAGTGTTTCTTAGAAGCCCATCAGAGCTGCAGAGAAGCAGCAGAGCCTGGCAGGTCTCACCTTCATTAACTAGGTACCGTGCATAGATAAGGAGCCAGTGGTGATATTCGTGACTGGATTGTAACATAAGTGCTGCTGCTATCTGGTTCTCCAGGTATGCAAGTGTTGTTTCTTGTTGCACTAAATGAGGCATGGAGAACAATCTTGCAGCTTGCCTTCCTGAACTGCAAAACCAAAAAGATTAACGTGCCATAAAATCAGATACAAGTTTAAGGAATATATCTTTTTGTAACACTAGCTATACTGCACTGATCTTTCAGAGCCACGCGAGACATAAAGCATTTAAAGGATTTCTTGCATATAAACACATTGTCATAAGAATGCTAATTTGAAAAAGGTAATTAGTTATTAGAATATTTTCAAAAAGGGAATTTTTCATTCTGTTATTGTCTCTCTCTCTCTCTCTCTCAAAAAATAATGTGGTTTGTTTATATTTCAAATGCTTTTCACAACTAACTACCCTTCCCCTTACGAGAACAGCAATAAAATCATACAACA